TACATGACATGCATAATGTGAAAATTATATCATTGAAATCTCCTTTCACATACGAATATGACGGTATGCTTTGTGTAAGTTGCATGTCATATATTATTGTTCAAATATTTGGTCAAAGTTAGCCTCGAAAAACGCATTAGGCCCTATATAGATGGAAGGAGGGAGTAGCTCCTAATAAGGAATTCAATTGCAAAACAGCAGTTTAGACTGAGTTTGGTTGCTGCATTCGGTAAAGATCATTATGCTGTGTTTGGATGTTTGTATTTGGGCTTCGAAACGTGATTTGGTATTGGTAGGGGTTTAATTCAGATAATCCAATGTGCTTTGTGGAGCCTGGAAACCGAGTAAAATCCAGGTATACGTATCACGTACGCCACGTCAGCTGAGGGCCCGCAGTCAGACGACTTGGTCATCACCGGAAGAGGTGAGAAAGTTGTTTCCTACCCTAGCTGCCGTCGCCAGCCATGTGACTAGGGAGGCGATCTCTTTCCTCCTATCTCCACCAGTCGGGGCACTGGCCCCCTCTCCTTTTGGCCGCTGCTCTGGCGGCAATCTCTTTCCTCCTATCTTCACTAGTCGGGGCACTGGCCCCCTCTCCCTTTGGCCGCTGCTCTGGCGGCAAAAGGGAGGGGGGACATGTTTCTTCGCAGTTAGGTTTTGGATTTGTAGGTCGTGGTGTGTCGTTTGGATGATGGGAGCCGCGCCCGGATGAATAAGGGCCTGACGGCTTTCCACCGGCTTCGAGGAATTATAGAATCTGCAGAGCACCTAATTCTCCATCATTTTAGCCTTGTAGCTCCGCAAGCTGAGTCTGGAGCGGAGAGACTCCGAACACTTCCTAAATCTGCCTTAACTCCACTCCCACACCGGCGGTGCCTTTTATGGCGGCGTATCAGAGTTGTTGGCATCGTGTCTCTGCTGATATCTCAGATCGCCAGTGTTAGGGTTCATGGATGGTGTGTCTTCTACTCCGTCCCCGTTGCTGTGGCGTTGTCTTCGAAGTCATGGTGGAGCAGAGAGGTTTTGTCGTTCAAGAGTACACGCAGACGGTTGTCTACGCAAGTGACAGCTGGAAGATGGAGTATCTTGTGCTGGGTCTGTGGTTGAAGGCTGACAATTTTGGTTTCCTCCTCCGACGTCGCCGTCATGCGGGGGTATCAGTTCTGAAGTTTGATGGCGTGTCTGGGGACATGTTGCCCCGATCTGTTTCTTTCAACGGCTATGATTTTGCTTCTAGCAAACTATTTTGGAGATCTGTAAAGCTGTTGATCAACGATGGAGCCGTGTCGAGTTTGGGTGAAGAGGTGATCTGTCCTTTTACTCTTTGGTGGCTGCTTCGGCGGTGTCGAAGGAGAGGGATAGACGCTTGTACTTTGCATATGATTTTTTTATCTTTTCAGTCATTGTTGGTGTTTACATGCCATGTAACTTGATCTTTGTTCTGTATAAATGAGACATGTATGATCATAAAAAAAAGATAACTTGTCATCCCTGGTCAAATCGCAGTCGCTATCCCCAATCATCACACTCGACGGACGGCGTCAACGTTGCAGATAGTTCGATCTCCGGCGAACCTCCCATCGCCGTTGGCATCCTAACCGTGCCTCCCCCTTCCGTCGCCGGCGGTGGCTCGCGCCGCGGCTTGCTGGGGCGAAGCTTTCCGCATGAGGCGTGACGGCGGGAAGAGCCCTGACAGCTCTCGGAGGCGGGCCACGTGCGGACCGCTTCCATGGATGACCAGATGGTCGTGCGGGCACGTCCTCCTGGCGACGGCTGTTAGAGACTGTAGCGACGCTGTGACGCCCACTGCTCTACTGACCGCCATGGAGGTAAAGTGCAGCTTCCTGCCGTCGGATGTTTAAGGTTGCAATGCTATTCTGAATTTGAACGGTTGTGTCTGTCGACCATTGCTATGCAGATATGGATTTGTTATGAAACGAAATTTCTTTGTGTACTGCAAGTAATTGGTGGAGTTCTGAGACCGCTTTTGCTGTGAGAGTGCTTGTGCTGTGTAGTATAACAGTGTCCTTTTGCTGAATCATGAAGTGCGAGTACTTGTGTTGTGTATGGCTCTCTCCATTGCACATATTCATTTGAGTATGATGAATGAAAATAAACAGTTTGAGACTACTTTTGCACAGTTTATGACATGGCTGAGCTGAGAGTTCTTGTGCATGAAAAGATATCAATACATGTGCAAGAATATTGCAATTGAGACTGAACTGAACTTGTGCATTTGTAATATCAGTGCAACATTACTTGTGCTCAAATGATCTGCATTTGACCAAATCTGCATGAACCACAACACATTTGAACTGAAGATAATAGAAGTTCATATATATGACTGAATTTGCCTGAACCACACCACACATGTAGGTCATGGATAGTACATAAACCATAGTTTAGGAAATAAAAGAGAGAGATCCAACAGCCTGATCATAAGCAGAACACAGCCATTATAAGCTCTGTAGGTGTACGTCTATATTGGTACGCAAGAAATAAAAAGAACATCTCTATTGTGTTCAAAGAAAAATCAAAGCATCGCTTTCTATGCAGATGTGGTACTAGCCACAGCAATTCAGCATCTGTCTGCCAGCGTTGGATAGACATAATTAGCAATCAAGCCCAACCAACTCCTGCTACCTGCTGAATGTCGCCTTTAATACTTACAGCTCGATATTTTTCTCAGGGAGGGGACAATATCTTTCGCTAATGGCTCATACAGTATTACTACGTGGACAGATTCAGCGCGCATTGGCCGTGTAGCACCCCTTCAACTAAACTACTATAGCTAGTTTGCCAAAAAAAAGAGTGTAAAAAAGGCTAGTTTGCCCCTCAAAAAAAGTTTTCCAAAAAAGAAAAAAACTACTAGCTACTCCCCCGTAATACATCCGTTTGAGTGTCAACTAATTCTCGACGGAGATGATGATAAGATGTGGGCAAATTCGAACGAATATTGGATACAACTTCTAGAAGTCGACTGCTTATCCGGCTGGGCAAGCTCACGTATGTACACATTATTTTGGTTCGACTACTTTAATTTCACTGGCTCCAAGGAAATCGTCGTGTAAGATCAATCACAATTCTTTATCTCAGTCATTTCAGAAAGAAAAACAGTCTCTACCTTGTTCATCAAGTGTTTTTTCTTAGAAGAACTCAGATTTACTATAAAAAGATATAAACACCTCAAACGTAATAAAAAATATCGAGATGCCTGGACCACTAAACGAGCATTGTCGTTGTCAGAATGAGCCGTTGACGCGTCGCTGTCGCCACTCCCCTATTGGAGCGAGTGTCGATGATTGCCAGAAAGTCTTTATGCACGTGCCTCTGAGGACCCGCCCTAGAGCCACAATCATTGCCATTGAACTCTTAAATCGATTTGAAGAAACTAACACCAAATCTCATCGTCGAGCGTCTGTGCATGAATCCACGGTTTAAGTTGTCTTGAGATTTGAACCGTGTCTATACCTTTACATTCTCTAAGCTCCCTAAGGTAGGGACTGTTTGGTTCCTCCTTGAGCAAGGCCTTCCAAATTGAACGGGAAATTGACTAACACTCTCATTCTTCCAACATATCTCAACTCCCTAATATGTGTGGTTGTCCGGTGGATTTGCTATCGCACATGTGAATTAAAGGTCATGATGTCAGTTCAACACCATCTCATGTGCTTTTTCTTAAGCTTCGGTGCGAGCCGGTCATTGGAGCCACTTGCCAGACTCCAACTAAGTTTGTTTGTGGCATTTTATTTGGTGATCATAATATGTTTTGTGATAATGATATGCGAACAAATGTTTGGTGTAACCAAATTGTTTTTTGAAGTGAATGCCATTTTTTATCCAATGTTTGTATATTTGTGAGTGTTTACCACATTTAAATTTTCTGCCACATTTTACCCCAAAGTTGTTATATTTTGTTAAGTTTAACCCAATTTAACAATATATTTCAATTCTGATTGACTGGGTATACTTGTAAGGCTGGCGTGGTTGGTGATCCTTATTCCAACTCAAAAGCGTAAACCAACTAGGTGTGTCCTTAGTACTCGTGAAAGCTAGCCTACAAATTGTGGCAAATCCGGCAATGGTTGCCAGGTAGCTCTTCCATCGCCTCGCTGCTCCTCATGGCGCCCTTTGTTCATCCCTGACTCACCGGGTCTGGCTTAGGGGCGGGGATGCAGGTATGGTTGTGCGGGTAGGGAAGACAATCCTATACGGATTGCCCTTCCTAGTGGGCATCCAAGTCATCAGCCACATCGGCATGACACGTGGGCCTAGCCAGTCAGAATCGAAGTAAATTGTTAAATGTGGTAAAGATTGACACGATGTAACGACTTAGATGAAAAGTGTGGCAGAATTTTTTAATAGGGCAATGTTGTCAATAATATAGAAATGGGGAGTAAATGGTGATACTGTTGGACAATTTTTGTCTATGTGGATAAAGGAGGCAATGTCCACCGCAATTCCACGACACTGTCGAGATGAAGCTAAGGGTGGACGATGATCGATGTATGAAATATGCATCATAATTGATTTTAATCTAATGATCACAATTTCTTTTCGCGGTGATGTAGAGGACGAGAAATTTTGTTAGTAAAATGTACTGAAATTCATTTGCTGAACACGTCGATTTTCTAAATACGTGCTTAACGATATAGTACATAAAAAATTATGAGATATACTACTACTATATGTATGGTTGGTTCGTACAACAACTTGTTATTATTGCGTGGTCACGGAAATAAAATTGCGTAATATTGTCTGGTCCATCGTTATCAGACAGAGAGAGGAACAGTGGAAAATTTTCATAACTCTGGGTGGTTGCAAACGGTGGTGATAACATGCTGTGGTACCAAGATTTGAATACGCCCACATGACCGATCACGCTCGCGATCCATCGCAAGAGATCGCCGGTGCCCAGACACGCCACGCATCTATAAAACCGACCGAAATTCCCACGGAAAAGGCAGACCAACCAGACTCCCAAACCCCGAACAACGACGATGGCCATGTCTCCCCTCACCCTCCTCCTCGTCCTCGCCGTCGCCGCGACGGCCGCGACGCCATCACACGCGGCCTGCGCCGACGGGAGCGGCGCCACGATGCTGCACGGCGTGGCGAACGACGTGCTCCTGGAGTACGGCCTCCCCAAGGGCCTCCTCCCGGACTCGGTCAACTCCTACACCTTCGACAACGCCACCGGCGACTACCAGATCGAGCTCGCCAGCAGCTGCTACGTCTGGTTCGGCGACCACTACGTCTACTTCGACAAGAAGCTCAGCGGCACCATCTCCCACGGCGCCATCACCAACCTCTCCGGCGTCATGGCCAAGAAGCTCTTCATCTGGGTCTCCATCACCAGCATGACCGCGCACCTGGAGCGGGGGGTGATCGAGTTCCGCGCCGGCTTCATCACGGAGGACGTGCCGGCGTCGCTGTTCGAGAAGATCCCCGTCTGTGTCGACGGCGTCGGAGAACAGCTCCGGGGTGAGGCTGGGGTGGTCCGGGAGCTTGGCCTGCTCCCCGTCGCCGAGGTGTGAGTGACTTCCAAGTCCAGAGTTCGAACATGAGTTGCTTCCACGCCTTTTGCTGAAGTTTAGTACGTATGGTTGGAAAAAACTATTTGCACCTTTCTTGGTAGAAAAGGAGAGATGAGACTATGGGAGATACAGTCGGGGTGCGATCTGCGATGTAATGGGGGGAATTGCATATTTCAAGTTCAATAAAATAATCTTTTATAAGAATATATAGGAGTATGAGCAGAAAAACAAACGGTGGTGAATCAAGTGCCGGTACATACAGAAACAATTGATGAGATATCTTTGTGATCATTGAATGTAAAGCAGTGCTCCTACTCGCTTATTCATTGGATTGGAGATAGTACCATACTACCATCTACTCGTCTGGAATTAGTTCACGCTCAAAAGATATACTCCCTTCGTCCCAAAATTAAGTGTCTCAAGTTTGTATTAGTTTTAATACAAAGTTATACTAAATTTAAGACACTTGTTTTAGAACAGAGGGAGCATATAGACAATGTTGTTTACGGGTTGTCCCATGTGAGGATATAACTTGTATTGATCTCAGATCTGTAGCTAATTCACCATGAATGTATGCACAAGCTCAAGCACGCCACACACTAGCCATGGCCGAAGCCACCAACTCCTTTCCCAATCCTCACGCAATGCACACACACCCGCATATATCAGCGTACACCCTTAACGGGCCCAGTCTGGGCCTGCAAGCCACTGGGGGAGTCGTCGATCGCGAGTGGGCCGCGAGGCTGCCGGCCCATGAGTCGAGTCCTCGTCACCTCGCGCTTCTGGATGACTGGCTCTGTCCTTGTGGGTGCTGACATCCCCCTCTCATTCAGAACCGGCTTGACCCCAAGCTGGGGCTCGCGGAAACAACTGGCAAAGCGAGTCCTTGTCCTCCCAGGTTACTGTAGATGCATCTCCATCACTCCACTGGATCAAGGCTTGAGCCACGGAATGATTGTCCGATCGCCGAATGCGCTCCTGCAGGATCTTAACAGGAACTTGAAGATGAGCATCAGCACAAGGGAGTGAATCAAGTACCTCGTACTGTGGTTGCACAAAGCGCTTCAGTTGCGAGACATGAAAGACGGGGTGGATCCTACTAGCTGCTGGCAATTGCAACCGGTAAGCCACCTCTCCAATTTTCTCCAGAATAAGGAAAGGCCCAAAGTACTTGAATGCAAGTTTGTGATTTGCCCGGTGCGCCACTGACGATTGCACATACGGCTGGAGCTTGAGAAACACCTTGTCACCCACCTCAAATGTCCTCTCCGTGCGATGTTTGTCAGCCTGGCATTTCATTCGCTACTGAACACGCAACAAGTGCCGACAAACCGATTGTTGCACAACCTCCCTGGCTTCCAACCACTGCTGCAAATCAACCGGGGCAACCGTATCTGAAGCTGATATCCCAAAATACCTGGGGCTATGTCCATAAAAAACTTCAAACGGCGATTTGTTGAGAGCTGAATGTCAGTTTGTATTGTACCAGAATTCACACAGGGGAAGCCACTTGGACCACTTGCTGGGGTGGCCACTGATAAAGCATATCAGGAAACACTCAACTTGTTGATTCACTCGCTCGGTCTGATCATCAGTCTCCGGATGGTATGCAGTGCTCATGTTAAGGACAGCTCCAGTTCTCTTGACCAAAATTTGCCAAAAATTGCTGGTGAAGACAGGGTCCCGGTCTGACACAATGTACAGAGGCATGCCATGAAGCTTATAGACATTGTCCAGGAAAAGATCAGCAATTTTCTAGGCCGTGTAGGGGTGTTTGACAGGAACAAAGTGGCCATACTTTGTAAATTTGTCGATGATGACCATAATGCAGTCATACTGGCCTGAAGGAGGTAATCCTGAGATAAAGTTCATTGTCACCGTTGCTAAAAGGATCGAGAAGAGGTGTCTAGAGGGGGGTGATTAGACACTAAGTGCCAAAAGTTGCAGTTTTTAATATTCTTAAGTTTAAGTGGAGTTTAAGCACATGTTCAACAAACACAATACATATCAAGCAAGCATGCAATGAGTATATGAGCAGCGGAAAGTAAAGCATGCAACTTGCAAGAATGTAAAGGGAAGGGTTTAGAGTATTCAAACGCAATTGGAGACACGGATGTTTTTGTCGTGGTTCCGATAGGTGGTGCTATCGTACATCCACGTTGATGGAGACTTCAACCCACGGAGGGTAACGGTTGCGCGAGTCCACGGAGGGCTCCACCCACGAAGGGTCCACGAAGAAGCAACCTTGTATATTCCATCACGGTCATTGCCCACGAAGGACTTGCCTCACTAGCGGTAGATCTTCACAAAGTAGGCGATCTCCTTGCCCTTACAAACTCCTTGGTTCAACTCCACAATCTTGTTGGAGGCTCCCAAGTGTCACCTAGCCAATCTAGGAGACACCACTCTCCAAGAAGTAACAAATGGTGTGTTGATGATGAACTCCTTGCTCTTGTGCTTCAAATGATAGTCTCCCCAACACTCAACTCTCTCTCACAGGATTTGGATTTGGTGGAAAGAAGATTTGAGTGGAAAGCAACTTGGGGAAGGCTAGAGATCAAGATTCATATGGTTGGAATGGAATATCTTGATCTCAACACATGAGTAGGTAGTTCTCTCTCAGAAAATGTGTATTGGAAGTGTAGGTATGTTCTGATGGCTCTCTCCACGAATGAAGAGTGGGTGGAGGGGTATATATAGCCTCCACACAAAATCTAACCGTTACACACAATTTGCCAAACTCGGTGGGACCGAATGGTTAAACTCGGTCGGACCGATTCAGCAAACCTAGTGACCGTTAGGATTTTCGGTGGGACTGAGATGCAACTCAGTAGGACCGATATGGTTAGGGTTAGGGCATAACATAATCTCGGTGTGACCGATTACACAAACTTGGTGGGACCGATTTTGGTAATAAGCTAACCAGAGAGTTGGTCAGGTAAACTCGGTGGGACTGATTCGCTCATCTCGGTGAGACCGAAATGTTACAAAAGGGAAACACAGAGTTTACATTGCAATCTCGGTGGGACCGATCGCTCATCTCGGTAAGACCGAAACGTTACGAAGGGAAACAGAGAAATTGCAATCCCATCTCGGTGAGACCGAGATCCCTATCGGTGAAACCGATTTGCTAGGGTTTGTGGCAGTGGCTATGACATCTGAAACTCGGTGGCGCCGGATAGAAAGAATCGGTGGGGCCGAGTTTGACTTTTGGTTTAGATCAAATGTGTGGATGTGGGAAGATAGTTGAGGATTTTGGAGCATATCACTAAGCACATGAAGCAAGAGGCTCATTAAGCAACACCTCATCCCTCCTTGATAGTATTGGCTTTTCCTATAGACTCAATGTGATCTTGGATCACTAAAATAGAAAATGTAGATTCTTGATCTTGAAGCTTGAGCCAATCCTTTGTCCTTAGCATCTTGAAGGGGTTCCACATCCTCTAGTCCATGCCACTCCATTGTTGAACTTATCTGAAACATACTAGGTAAAAGTGTTAGTCCAACAAGAGATATGTTGACATTAATTACCAAAACCACCTAGGGAGCACTTGTGCTTTCAATCTCCCCCTTTTTGGTAATTGATGACAACATACATCAAAACTTTAGATAAAGATATAGAGAATAGCAAGTAAAGCTTTGGAAAGACATGTAACATGCATAGGCTCCCCCTACATGTATGCAATCATGTGAATATGGAATATAGGAGCATGTGAATGCATAAGCATGACAGAGTAAGCAATGTGTTACATGTATCTTGGCTATATGCATCAGAGCAAATGATGTGAATATGAGAAATGTACCTTCATGCTCATGAGTCCTTCTTGCAAACAGTATGTACATCAGCAAGAATTTCTCATTCACATGACTGTGATGCATATACTTACCTTGTGGTCTTGAGTTGGCTTAGGATGGGATGAACCTGCGCAAACAAGGTTAGATAACACACATACACCTACTGACCAGAGCAAACAAGAGAAACCACAAGAGAACCAAGACTGGGATGACATGTAGATTGAGCACTAAGTACCACATTGGATATAGACATGTCCCCAAAGGTAAAGATATGCAATAAAATCAGAGATTTCCTTCCCTTAGATGTCTTGCTCCCCCTGAATCTACATGGGATATTGGGAGAAGATAGGGAACAGAAAATCAGAGCAACAGAAAAGAAACAACAGAGCTTGAGCTAAAGCAAGAAACCAAACATGTCTTTCCACTCTTAAAGACATGTGACATCTCTCCTCTTGAACACCAAGCATCTGGGGTCTTTGATAATATTACTTTCTTCTTGTTGAGAAACTTTCTCCCCCTGAGAATTCTCTCTTTCTCCCCCTATAGGAAATATTAAGCTTTGATGTGATCTCTCTCTCCCCCTTTGACATCAATTTCCAAGAAGGGATCTTATGGACATGTGATACAAATGGGTTGGTCCTTGAGTCACAGAGCAAAGCAGCATGTCTAATATGATGCTGGTAGAGGACAATAATCATTGAGTGGAGCTGGAGCAAACAGAAACTAGGAATAAGTGGCAAGTTGGTTTTCCTGTGGTGGAATCGGTGACTCCGAGTTGTGTGCTTAGGTTGCACCGAAAGGTTTCAGTTGGGCCGAAGAGAACAAACCGGTGTGACCGAGTTCATCAGAGGGAAGCCACTTGTCACCTCAGCTCACTAGACAAGTAAGATCTCACAAGGATGTGCAAGGAATTAACTGAAAGATTTGCAATGGATTGGATGCAGAAAATGCAGAACAAAAAGAAAAGAAACTAAAGGATCTAGATGAAGTTTTTTTTGAAAGGGGAAACAAATATGCAAATGCAAATGCAATAACACAGAAAAGAACACAAGAGAACTTCATCTAGAGTTGGGCGGTGACAAAGTCACCTATGTTAGAGTATATTGACTTAGGAGTCAAGTGAGAGCACTTGATCATAGGTCATACTCATCGTTTAAGCTCAAAATGGGGTTACCATTTTTCGTTTAAGCATCTTGATGTATTCA